TAGCATATACTTCTACTCCATTGAGTATAAGAAATCAACTAGCCTGGTGTTATACCAGAGAGACACTAAGAAACAGAGTAAAAAAGAACAATAATAATTTAAAAATTAAAGCTTTGATTTCAAGGTATATACTGCTACAGAGTATACAGTAATTAGAATTGGAAACTCAAAAAAGAAAAAAAAGTATGCCACACCTGGTGGCAGACACCTGTGGCAGCACTCAGAAGGCTGAGGCAAGAGGATCACTGCGAGGCCAGCCCAGGCAATATAGTGAGTTCAACACCAGCCTGAACTACATGGTGAGACTCTGTCTCAAAAAACCAAAAATACATAGATATTTAAGTGATCTACTGCCAAGAAATAATGCTGTGCATGGAGGCAGAGTGTCAGTGGGTTTTTTATTACTCTCTTTTTTAAAGGTACATGCATCTTGTTCCTATAGTGAAATGTCTCTGTTCTATACTTATGTGTTCTTATTTCTCCGAGATTCTTTTTCCTATTTTTAGCTGGTAGGCAAGTTTTTAGATGCAAACAAGAAATTATTTTCTGAAACAATCAGTGGTCAAAGGAAAAAGAAGAATTAGGTTTCATTCACAATCACAATAAAAACGTTGCAGTTCAAGGTTAAATTCATTCTAAGGCTTAATTTTCATTGTAATTATAACTCTCGGCTTTTTAAATTAGGACAACCTACTTTCAGCAGGACCTGCAGAGTCAGTCTCTTTCTCAACAAAGAACCAAGTCCTTTGCCTCAGTCTGATTAGGCCCAGTGGACTGGTCTTATGCTGTGTTCAGACCAGGGCCTAGGAACTGTCTTACTTACCTCCATTGGCTTAGAATAGTCAAGACTAACCTTGACAACTGGGGATTGGGTCCACGTCCCCAATCACAGGAACTGCTAGAAAGAAAATTCCTGATCAAATGAAGAGTTCTGATGTAAACAAAGGGGAAAAATTGTCATGGAAGAGGTAATCACTAGAGTGCACCACACTTCAAACTCCTGACTTGTTGGGAGCCGCGTCTGTGATAGCTCGCCTTACTCGGCGGACGTGCGGCCTGTGGTAAAGAGCAAAGCCTGGGGTAGATTACCCCTCCCATCGAATATGTTAGTTTCCTGCTTACCGCGTAAACAACCCGCTCAACAATATAGTCTGCCTGGCAACTGATGATGTTAGCCAATCAGCTTGCCTTGCTTACTTTAACATGATTGGACACTGTACCCGTATATATACCGGTGCCACCCCTGGGCGGAAGAAGAAGCCAGGTAGAAGCCCGGAAGTAGAAGCCCAAAAGGAGCCGCGGAGAGCGGACCGGTAGAGGCTTTGGGGCAGACTGAAGCACAAAAGGAGCCGCGGAGAGCGGACCAGAGGAGGCTTCAGCTGGGAGAACCCAGGGCAGGCTGTACGGAGAAGGAAAATAAAAAGAAAAGGTTGTCCACTACCAGACTTTGTCGTGTGTCCTTCCTGCCGGCCGGGAGCGGACATCGACATTTGGAGGCCCGCCCGGGGACTGATCACCCCCGAGACGTGACAGTGGACAACGCTCCAGTACAGAGCTGCGAGACAGGTGAGTTGGGGATAAACCTGGGCTCTGGGTGGCGCGCACCTACAGGGCTTTTAGACTCCCCTCAGGCTCACGCGTAAGTGGCGGATTCCTTGGGCCTCACGCGGTGAGTAACATATTAAAAGATGGGAAACATGTTAGGTAGCAACACTAAGAGCGAGGGTGGTTGTGGAGAAAGCTCTCAAGAGCTTACAAAAGTACGCAGGGTATCTGAGCAGGCCCAGTCAGGGAGCTCCCGAGAGGTGTCTGTCAAGGGGAACAAGGATGCTAAGGAGGAGGACGGGGCTCTAGCCTCGGAGTCGTCTGACTCCGAGGACGAGGGAAAGTTGAATGGCAAGGAGGCCAAAGAGACCAGCTGTCAGGAGCCTAAGTCGCTCAATAAGGAGTCGCAGGGTTCTTTTCCAGCGTTGCCCCGCGAATTGCGCTCTGCTCAACCTGGTCTGCGGAGGAGTAGAGAGCTCCTGAGCGCTCCCCGGCGCGAGAGGGAGGCGAAGCCTTCCGCCCCACCTTGGGGGCCGTTTCCGGAGGCGATTCCTCGCCACGAGGCGGCCGCCTGGGAGCTCTCTCCCCTTTCGCCAGAACAGGAAGTGATGCACGGGCCCCCATTTTCCGCCCAATCACGGCCGCTGTCTTATGCTCCGCCGCCGGCGGGTCGGTATTTTTACAGGCGGCTTTGGCAGGGGGGACGCTTGTCTCATGAGGTACATCCACCTGGGATAGATAGTGGCCCCTACGGGATATTTCCTGTACAAGTAGCTATGGGCCAGGGACGCAATGTATGGGAGCCTTTTGAGATAAAGCAGATTAGAGAACTTAAAAATGCAGTTACAACCTTTGGGCCGACTGCGCCTTACACCATTGCCATGCTGGAGAATCTGTCTTCTGGGCCCCTCACCCCCGCGGACTGGATTCAGCTGACAAAGGCGTGTCTGCCCTCGGGCAGTTACCTGGATTGGCGAGCCTGGTACACAGAGTTCTCTGCCGAGCAGGCTGAGAAAAACGCCGGTCGAGGAAATGGGAGCTGGGGATTTAGCTTAGCGGCATAAGCGCCTGCCTTGTAAGCAGGCAATCGCCAGTTCGATCCCTGGTACCAATAAAAAAAAAAAAAAAAAAAAAAAACCGAAAAAGATAAAAATAAAAAATAAAAAACAAAAAGGGGGAGTAGGTCAAGGCCTGGCCCCAAAGGCACGATTATCCATGGCACTATTCACACACAATTTTTTAAATTTAAATAATGATAATTGCTCCCCAGCCATGGAGCACTGCAACCCTTCCCCCAACCATAAAGGGTGGGTGAAGTGAAAAGATGTCCTGACAGGACAATGGATGGGCCCGGATCCAGTGGTCAGCTGGAACCGAGGCGCGGTTTGTGTTTTCCCACAGGAACCGGGACGAGAACCACTGTGGATACCGGAGAGACTGACACGGGCAACAAAGCCCTCGACTGAAGATCAGACCTGCCCTACTGGAGATCCATCACAGACCAACCAATAAGATGAATAGAAATAGCGGTAGCCCGAAATGGACAAGAAGATCCTCAGGCATATGCATGGCTTGCTCAATTGGCCCACGACCGAGTCTAGATATGGCGGGCATCCCTCATTCTCCTCCATAAGGTGACAATACACAACAGGGTAGGTGAGTCAATGACGGGTAAGAGCGTGCCTCCCCAGCACGACTCGACCTAAGCCAGGCCCTACCCCATCCTGCACGTAAGCCGCTGGACTGTTAGATGCTGCCCAGGTCTAAATTTCTCTCCGAGGGGATTTCTTTACGGAGAGGAAATGAGTGCAAGCTTGTGTGCATCCAGGTTCCGTCCAGTTTGTGCCTGGCCCTAGAAAAAGGACGAGGGCCTCAGGGCCTTGGCAGACTATGGCATGGCCAACCAGGGTCTAAGCCAAGGACCTACGGTGGACCTACACATAGGGCATAAGCCTCTGCACCCAGTCCAGGAAGGGCTACGATGCGCACATTCATAAAAAATAAAATAGGGGGAGATGTTGGGAGCCGCGTCTGTGATAGCTCGCCTTACTCGGCGGACGTGCGGCCTGTGGTAAAGAGCAAAGCCTGGGGTAGATTACCCCTCCCATCGAATATGTTAGTTTCCTGCTTACCGCGTAAACAACCCGCTCAACAATATAGTCTGCCTGGCAACTGATGATGTTAGCCAATCAGCTTGCCTTGCTTACTTTAACATGATTGGACACTGTACCCGTATATATACCGGTGCCACCCCTGGGCGGAAGAAGAAGCCAGGTAGAAGCCCGGAAGTAGAAGCCCAAAAGGAGCCGCGGAGAGCGGACTGGTAGAGGCTTTGGGGCAGACTGAAGCACAAAAGGAGCCGCGGAGAGCGGACCAGAGGAGGCTTCAGCTGGGAGAACCCAGGGCAGGCTGTACGGAGAAGGAAAATAAAAAGAAAAGGTTGTCCACTACCAGACTTTGTCGTGTGTCCTTCCTGCCGGCCGGGAGCGGACATCGACACTGACTGACCTAAATATTTTAACCAACTACTAATGATATGCTTTACAGGCCATAACACCACCTATACTTTCGTATAAATGGCTGATACTATGGGGAAATGAATAATTAAAGATTAAGTTGATGATGGTAAAAAAACTTCCTGTTTGAATCCAGGACTTGTGATATCAACCTAGTTATACATACTGATGATACCTTTGTCCAGCACAACTGCTCCTAGGTGTAGCACAGAAAAAAAATCTAACCAGTAAAAGTACTGAGGGTATTTAATTTACTACTCTTATGAAAATTCAGAATCTGAATAAGACCTGGAACCACCTGAATAAAAAGGCAAGATAGGATTACTGAAATAATGGGCTAAAAAGTGACCAAACTATTAGCATTCACAAATACCCATCACCATAGGAGTTTACAGCGCAGGGCTATTTTGTTGAGGCAGCAAGTATTTCAAATACAGTAAGTCTCCAACTTAAAAACAAGTTCCATTCCAGGAGACTGGCTGCAAATCAGATTCACTTATAATCTGACAAAGTGAGACTTTTTTTTCTTTTTGGTACTGGGAATCAAGACAGTCTTATATAGTATGCCTGTGAATCTTACACAGTACACTTGTGAAAGTTCACAACTTAGACACAGACAATCTAAACATAAAACAGAACAAACCTTTGAAGAATTCAATTAAGTATACTGTTAGGATGCAGCATTCTTCCCATGTATCAGTGTCTTTAGACATAAAAGCCTAAGCTTCGGCAGGCAATAGGGTAATCCAAGAAAGAGTTTTCACTCCCAAATTCTGAGAATAGAAAGTAACATTTTAACAGTTTAGAGAACTACGAAGAAAAATGACTAGCAATATCTGGTATCATCTAAGAGAGAGAAAAGGAATAAAGCAGGAAGAAGGAAGACAGGGAATAAGGGAATAAGGAAGGCAGAAGGAAAATAAATTTATGGAACAGGGGTTTCTAGTTCAATTATTTGTCTTTATTGAGGACAGCAGGTAAATATATATTATTCATACATTTTGTTTTCCAAGATCGGGACAAAACAGTTGATGGTACAAAGAGATATTATTAGGACAATAAATGATTCACTAGTATATCACTAGAGCTCTTAAAGCACTTGCTGTGTTTTGAAATAATTTGCAATGAGGCTACAAAATCAAGGTGTTTTCATGCATCCCGTTACTTTGGCTTACCAATTTTTTTTCATGTTGAGGACTATACTAACAATTACACTTCATAGGTAGCTGTGAAGAATTAAGCATAAATATGTAAACATGTATGTACTCATGTTTGGCATACAACTGACAGCCAGGAAATGTTACATTTCTTGATCCCTCACCAAATCTGTTCACTCAACTGTGGCATATCCAAACTGCTTTAAACATATTCCTTGGTTAAGGGATCAGGGGCCAACAGATAATTACTGTTATAAAAACTGTGGAGTGCTCTGTACTCAAATAATATATCACTGTAAAATTGGAAAGGACAAAGGCAACCTCAGATTTGTGAGCAGAGTAGTAGTACGTGGAATTTGATTGTAGATGCAGACAACTGAATCATGAAAGTGATTAAGATATTTCCTCAAGCTTAGCTTTTTCTAATTTGAATAAAGTAGGATAAGTAAAACTCACATGTAAACAAGTTACTTGGCATATATAGATTAATGCCTTTTGGTTTTATTTATAAATAAAAAGGTAATACACTATTTTTTGTATCCTAACTACTTTACGGATAAACTATTTTTATTAAATCCTGTTTATACTTTGAAAGCCTGCATTTTATGATTTAGTTCCTATGTTTTATATTTAGTTATTCTCTCAGTACATGTCATGGGAAGTTTTAAAAGACAGCATATGACACATAGTTCTCAGATTTCCACAATTAATCCTGAATTTATTTCATTTCTATTTGTAGAACCTCTGAAATATTTTTCATTGACACTTCATAGAGATAAAGATATAGAGTCCTATCTCAATCAGCAATAGATTGCCAGAAAAAGAAGTAACTTAATGTATGAACAATCATAAAAATAAAGACAAGAAACAAGTTTTATTCTCTAAAAATCATCTATATCATCAGATCATTAGCTACAAGGATATCTAAGGCATAGAGGGAATTAGCACTTAGCTACATGCATGAGATGACACTATTCATAAAATCAACTTCTTCTGTGATTGAAACTTTAATGTCACTTAAGGATTATACAGTAAAAGCATCAGGAGCATTTCATTGTTTATTTAGCGACAAGATCTCACTATGTAGTCCAGGCTGACCTCAAACTTTGGTGTTCTTCCTGCCTCTCAGCTTTCCAAATGCTAAGAGTATTATGGGCATGTGTAACTACTTTTGGTTAGGAAAATTCCTTTTTGTCCACATCTTTTTTCCCTTCCCCTAACACTCTTTTATTAGTCCAGAATTCTTTTTTTTCAAAAATAAAATACTAAGTTGAATTTTTATCCCTCTGAAAACTCTCACTTGATCATTTTTAAATAGCTTCTTTACAGAAGTGAATTTTTACCTATTTTTAAATTTCTCAGTCCCTAAGGAGCACCATATTCTTTTAAGCTATTTCTATTAGAATTTTATACTTTAGCTTTGCCTAGAGTTAGAATTTCAGATAGCTTAAAAGCATTTTCAGTTTTATTTTTAATAGTTGCCTGCAAGGTATACTTAGCCTTCTGGAAAAGATGTGCGTTTCAGAACAATACCCTCAAATTTTTACATTCCAATAGACTTGCAACTCTAGAGCAGAACTCCAATGAAATTTAAAAGTGGGGTTTCAAACACTGGTCTTACTCTGCCATTTAACTTTCCAGGCAAGTTTGGTATGAACAGAAACTCAAGAATCAGACAATCTTGATTAATTTTCCAACTGAAGTTGTTTCTGATATACTAGGTTTTACTAAGGACAATACAATAAAGAGATCAAATTTCTCATTTTCACTTAAGTGGAAAATCTAAGACAGGGCTTTCTCACCCCCTGCATTACTAGCATTTGGGCTGGATAATACTATCTTGCAATGGGAAGAAGGGGCTGTCCTGTGTATCGTAGGAGGTTTAATAGCAACCCTGGCCTCCTATATTAGCCTTTTCCACCCCTGGAGGGTAGAGAAGGCTGGGGACACTGGTCAGTTTCCTACTATTCACAAGACAGCCCTCCACAACAACATATTACCGAGCCCAAAATTTCACTAATATAGGTTAGTTTCCTGTCTGTCATTTTTTCTGATTATTCATATAACATGCTACCCGCACAACATCACACATGAGGCAAAATGGCCTCACTTGAGAACCTCTACCATAGAGGGAATATTATTTTCTCCATTATTAAAATAAGATTCTACAATAAGCCTGAACCTTTATTTTTATAAAGAAGGGATTCAAGCAGAACCAAAACTTCATGGCAGTGAAAATATATTTTAAAAATCTAATCACACAAAAACCATAATTATAAATGGCTCAGTTTTTGCGCAATGAGGTCTGATTTCAACTGAATCTCAGCTAATTTCAAACTTATCTCTCTATAAAGGGAACCACTCACTTTTAGGTTCACTCCTAATAGTTTTTCCTTTTCTACTTGAACTTCTCTTCTATATAGAAGGATTTTCTCTGTTTCATCTGATGACGCAGTCATGGCACTACTCTTCCCTTTGCTTGCTTCAGAGCTCTCCATAAACTTGCTTGCAACCTTAGCTAGCGCAGAAGGAAGAGAACCAAGGGTAGCCAGTTCCTTCTCCAAAGTCAGTGCCAAACGATCAACTGTGAAATCCTCACTTCCTATTTTTAGATTTTTGAAGAAACAGTTTATAGGAAGAACTTTGATGAGACTATGAAGGCACTGGAACAAGACTGTTTGGTTCCTAAAATAAAAGACCAAACATAGTATTACAAAATCAAAACAGCACAAAGCAGTCATGTATAATATAATAATCAATATTCAATTATAAACACTATAATGATTAATAGAATAAAATTCATGTGATAGTGATAAAATGTAGAAGGTAGCAATAAACATGCATTCTATACTAAAGAGGTTAATATTAGTCATGTTACTTGCTAATTAAATCTCTTTTGCTGTGACGCAAGATCAGTATATTTTTTTAAATTTTGCTATGAAGAAGAGATAAAAGGAAATCCTAAAATAATTACTTGGCAGAACAAAAGCCATAATCAAACAAAATGAAGACTAGGAGTTTAGCTCAGCAGAACAGCATCTGCCTGGCAAACACAAGGTTCTGAGTTCCATTCCCAGTACAAAAAAAAAAAAATACAAACATAAAATGAGAGCAGAGAACTTCAGTTTCTAAATGATGCTGCACCTGTCCACTCACACTGTACCAGACCATGGTTGTCAGCTGGCCCACACTCAAACACACTAACTTCTCTGGATTGATTACAATGTGACATGCATTACCTGGAGTAGACTGTTAAAATTCCTTCAAATGGTGTTCTTTGTTTCCAGCTGAAGAGTGTCCCATAGAAACTATCAGGCCTTTTACAAAAGCACAATTCTGGAAATTCTTTGATTATTTCACCTTGCATGTGTTCAATGAGCCACATCGTCATTGAATTTAGGGCATAGCCAGGTGACGTGATTTGAAAACAAGATTTCTGCAATGCTGCAAGATATGCACATAGATCTTCTGTGTGTTCTACAAGATACACAAGTTTACAAAGTCTATCAATCAACTCTGTCCATTATCAAATAAAGTCCTTAAAATTTTTATTGAATAAGTATATGATTACAAATTACCAACAAACATTACCTATTGATTTGTTCATTGGAAATTTCAGTAGATATTTCCCACTTGAAAGATCTTCTAAACTTAAAAAAATTCTGCCACATGGAATCCAGCGATCACCAGGATAGCCACCATTTTCTCTTTCCCTAATTTGCAGCAGCAGAATGCAACAAAATTTATTGGATGCTAAAAGTGGTGATAAAGACGTTATACCAGTAATTATCTGAACACACTCTTTCTTAGATGGCTGTTCATAAACACAGCTTCCTTCTTCCTTTCTATCAGAGTTCAACTTGATCTTTTTTGCCTTTGATCCTGTTTCATGTGGTATTAAGTATGGTGCTGGTAAAGAACCTGTATTCAAACTAATCACCTTATTTTGACACTTAATAAGCTGAACATTGGAGCTAAAGCCTTGATCCATTAACAGTGATAAAGTCACAGCATTTGGGGACCTGTAAAAAAATACAGTTAGTTTATTTTAACAGCTCATTTTTTAAAAAATCAAGTAGACAACTAACTACAATGTAAATAGCAACAAACATTTTTATCCTTTCCTAGGAAACATCATTTCAAAAACTATATCAAAGTATTAAAAGTCAAATTATTAAATGTCCTACAATAGCACTTCTCTTAAAATAGGCAGGCAAAAGCATGGAAAATATGCTAAACTTTTGTAAAATAGGAATGGTAAATCAGTACCTAGGGATTTTTTTAGGTATTTTATCCAACCTCTCTTTAAACAAGAAAAAAATCCTCATTTTTCAACACTTTGTTTCAGTAATATTTTAGAATATAAATGCCTATAAAGTAAAAATTGTATTATTTTACCCCCATAAATGACTCAAATAAAATCTGTTGTTTATCTTTCAACATTTGTTCCCAGATTTACATTTCTAATTTTTTTTTTTTTTTTTTGCAGTGCCGGGAATTGAACTCACGACCTCGCGCTTGCCAGGCAAGCACTTATTCCACTGAGCTAAATCTCCGGCCCCATTTCTAATAATTTATAAATATTGGACAGGCTTATTTTAGTACATTTCAACACTGTCAACATTATCAAGTTAAAACAGATGAGAAACATGACATGACCAAAGACAGGACTTGATTTTTTTAAAATTTAATTTTATTTTTTCAGACAGGATCTCACTATGTAGTTTATGCTGGCTTTTAATTCACTATGTACCCCAGGTTGTCCTCAAGCTCAGCAGTCCCGCCACAGCCTCCCAAGTGCTGGGAATATAGATGTGTGCCACCATACTCAACTTACAAGAGGACTTTAGCACACAGGTATTTCATTATATATGTAATGGATTTAAAATGAAACCCTAATTTGTAATAACTATATTACTGGCATTGTTATTCTGCGAATACTACATATAGATTGAGGAATGAAGCAAATAACTATGTTGGGACAACTGAAAACTGAGATTTTCTACAAGATGAGTAGTGCTAAATAAAGACCTTAAGGCCCTTAGTTTGTACTAGAGACCTCAGTTTGGATTTACAATATGTTTTATCACTAAAACAACAAAAAATCCAACCAAGAAGCCAAAAAACCACTCTGTCCACTAAAAAGGCATGGAAAAAGACAATCTACTCAAGAGCAACTGAGCAAATTTTAGGTCCAAACTCTGGTCTCTAAATTAAAAACATTTAAGAGTATAACTAAGTAACTGATGAGAAAAAATTTTCTCTTGATACAAATACTCTAGCTAATAAAGAATCAACGACACAATTAGAATGTCATCACACTGCAAATCCTAATAAAATAAGAATTGCTAATATTACAAAATGAAAATGACTAGATTTCCTATTCATCCAGATGGAAGAAAACAACATTATCTATTAAATATTCTCTAAATAATACTTCAAGCATTCATCTGATTCAGATCTACTAATTTAGTGGAAAAGGTGATAGAGAAACATGTAAAGCAATACCACAAGATAAAATCAGCACAATCTAGTCTACAGTACTTCATAGGGCAAACTCCTTGGTTTCTGCAAAACATGCAATTATAAGGGAAACACACACACACGCATGCACACACACATATACAAATGAAAAGGGTATCTATCCAATGAAAAGGACATACAAACATCATCAAATCTGATTTACAGGCCTTATTTAGCTACCGAGTTGACAAATTATTTTAAAATTGAAACAAGAAGGAAAGTGAACATTTACTGGATGAATTACTAGTAATTTCTAGGGGTGATTATATGCATGTAAGTTCTTACTTTTTACATACATACACTAGAATAGTTATAAATCAAATAATATTGCCGTTGATTACTTCAAAATAATCCACAGAGTGGGAATGAGGAATGAGTGGAGGTACATAAGGAATGAGATTATCAATGAGTTGATAATTACTGGAACTCAGTGACAGGCAGAAAGTGTTCACCAAAGTATTCTCTTTGTATGAAAACATTTTAAAATTACAGTCATACCTTAGTAGTTGATTGCCTTGAAACTCACTGAATTTGGTACTCAATGTTTTTGACACAAAACTTTGTCATTGGTTTGGTACATGATATGCAAGCTAGGATTTGCCTCATGACTCCCTACCCTTCCCAACCAAAACAATTTGTTAAGTTCTTGTCTTGTTTGGTACTCATTGTGACACAATCACAATCAATTAACGATAAGGACCAAGGTAACCATGCAATCATGTTTAGCATGTTAAAGGAAATAAAAAAGAAATGGAAAATACAAGACAGTAAAAACTAACCAGGCAGATATGACAAAGAAAAATAGAACTTACAATAAATGTAAATAATAATAAACGATGAGAAATTTGAAAAGTGGATTAAATAACTGAAAGAGAAATCTAATGATAAAATTAGTGAGCAGAATATCCATTAGAATAAACTAGCTGAAAACACAGAGATGAACAGAAAATAACATGAAAGAGAAGTTAAGAGATATGGAGTATAAAATAAGCAGGCATGGAATTCCACAAGGAAATAAATCAGAAAACTTCGATACCTAAAGAGATAATAATTAAGAATTTCTTAAATTGCAGGAAAAAGTTGATTTTCTAGACCAGGAAGTTCAATAACCTACAGGACAATCAAAGAATTCTGCATCTAAGAACATTATGGTGAAATCATTAGAAAAAATCATTAGAAAGAAAAACAGAAAAAGTCCCAAGTAGAAGAAAATAATAAGTAGCAAAATTAATAAAATAGGAAACATACAATTAAAGATCAATATAACAATTATTTGAAAAGATTAATGAATTCCTTGCAAAATTATCAAGAAAAAGAGATGTATGTTTAGAATGAAAAACAATTTGTGACACTACAGTTGCTAATTCCTGAGTCTCCTAGAAACAACATATTAATAAAGGTGATATTTTACATGAAACAGAAAAATTACTAAAAGATATCAGCAAAGTACATTTAAGAATAAGTAAAACTGAAAATTTTTATTACTCTTTAAAAACTCAATCAGAAGTTTAAAATTATCTCATAAAAATGCTGAAGAGGCTGTGGTGATAAATGAACCCTTCTCCACTGTTGGTGGAAATGTAGACAGGTACAAGTTTGTTGAAATCAGTGTGGAGATTTCTCAAAAAACTAGGATTCAAGGTCTCACTCGACTCAGCTATTCCCCTTTTGGGCATTTTTCCAGGACTAAAAACATCCTAACACAGCAATATATGTGTACCCATGTTTACAGCAGCACAATATGTAACAGCTAAATCTTGGAAACAACCCAAATGCCCATCAACCGAGAAATGGATAAAAACGATGTGGTATTTTTATATAATGGGGTGTCATTCATTTATAAAGAAGGATAAACTCAAGAATTTTATAGGTAAATGAAAGCAACTAAGGACCATACTCACAAGTGAAATCAATCAATTTCACATGTGTAAACATCATCTTGTCTCCCTAGCATAAAAAAAGAGTAAATAAGGCACAAAATCTGTAATAGATATTAAGAAATAGAAACTGCTCAAAGGAAAGAACAACTGGGATGGAGGGAAGGAGAAATGAAGGAAGGGAAAAGAAAAAATATATATATATACACATACACAAGATAGCTAACATTATTATACTACTAATTTATTTTAGTTCATTGAAAAGATTGGTTTGTTCTTATATTAGTTCATTAATTTTATGTCTATATTTTATAAGCAACTACTTTGAAGACAACACACAATATATTAACCATTGTTAATTTCTTATTATCCTGTTTGGAAACTTTGTATCATTGTGTGTGTGTGTGTGTGTGTGTGTGTGTATATATATATATATATTTACATATATACATATATGTATACAATATACATCCATATATATACAATTTTATATATATATATATATATATATATATATATATATATATAAAACTTTTCTCTCTTGAAAACAAAAAGAAAAAAAGAATCTGAGAGGAAAATAAGCCAGGTATCTACTACTTTCTAGTACAACCAAATATCAAAGATAATTTCAAATTCATATAAACTATTTCAGAGAAAACAAAAAAAAGAATTATCAAGAAGAAAATAAACTTAAATATATTTAATAGTTGTATAAACTAGGTATGATGACACTCTCCTATGGTTCCATAGACTCAGGAAGGTGAGAGGAACACCTGAGCCCCAGAGTTTCAGGACCCTAACTCAAAATGATAAACAAAGATAGTTGTTTAGCCTTGATACTAAAATCAAATAACTACTGTTCAGGAAAATTTCAAGCCAACTTCACTCATGAACATGCATGCAAATATTTTTGACCAAGCATTAGTAACCAAATCCATCAATGCACCAAAATGGTATCATGAATTTGTGTGTATCTCAGTAATGCAAGACTGGACTTACAATAGAAAACTAGTTAATATAACTCACTCATTATAGAAAAGAGACAAAAAAATACCTTATATTATCAACTAGCCTAAAACACCATAGGAATTCACTGAAATGAAAGAATAAATCCAAATCTCAAAGCCACTATATAAGTAGTATTGGTTCTATACTTTTCAAACTGCTCAAATACACTGCCATCATCTCTACCTATTACAAGGCATTACCTGGTCTATCTCTGTCTCTCTCTGCTCACATATTTGTGGTTAAAATGTAGTACTATAAGACCTGTATTGATCCTGTTTTGGCTAAGAGCTCTTTGCTAGGCTGCAGACAACATAAACATTACTTCTTTATCCATGATTTCGATAGCCTCAAAAGGAATATCTTCTATGATCATAGAGAAATTGTTACTTAACTAAATTTTTACCAACCTATGTTAGTCTACAGCCTCTAAATGTTTCTAATACTTTTAAACATTTTGATACAAAGCTGTTTGTTCTTAATTATCTCTACATCAAGAGTATGATGTCGTGACTTTGTAAATGTCACTCTCTTCATACTATTAATGCACTGTGTAAAAGATACTTCTAGAATAGGGCTGCTTAAGGGACTAGCCATTAGGCACATATGGCTAGTGAACCCTAGAAATGTGCCCAGTCTGCATTGTAATGTGTTACATACATAAAACACACCAATTTTTTTAATTTAGTATGAAAAAAATTAAAATATAGAATCTCATTAACACTTTTTATAACAATTACATGTTGAAATATTTTTGATACAATAGGTTAAATAAAACACATCATTAAAATCAATTCCACTGCTTCTATTTATAGGTTTTAATATGGCTACTAATGCATTTAAAGTCACACACATTGCTTGCATTAATTTCCATTGACCAGCACTGGTCTAGCACAATGAACCTATGGCAACAGTGCCAAAGTAGGATGTTTGCATCATTGAAAGCTCTAAAAAGTTCACCATTGCTGGTCTAGAGTATCAGTACAGCAGTATCATGCAGAACTTACAGCTTCAAAGAAGATGTAGTCTTTATGCCAACAACTAAGCTATCATCCACTACACGATACCAGATCTTCTCTACTAGACGTTCTGAATTCTGAAAATTTTCTGGTAACTTTTCATCAATGGTATGGTCACTATTTTCTTCTTTGCCACAAAAAGGAAGAAGAAAATCCTAATGGAAAAATGTTTAAATAATTGGTTACAAAAAATATACCAAATGTAACAGAATTAAAATAATGGAAATCAGCTTTTGGTCAATCCTCATTGCTTAAACATTTTAAAATACATTATAATATAATATAGATCATACATAACTTAGTAAAATGAAATTTATAAAACACACGTTACCTAAATACTCAGAAAACGAAGGGCATCATGATTGGAACAAGATGCTGCCAAGGATATAAACTTGTAGGAGTCCATTTTGTTTAAGGGGGGAAAGGATTATTTAGCTCACAATTTGTAGAGGTTTCAGTCCATAGTTACCTACAATCCATTTTTTAAAAACTTAGACAGTCTATAGTATATCCCCATTATATGGAAAATAAGCCAATCTGGAATTTATCAGTGACTTGTCACGGTATTTATCAGTGTCCCTGTATTTATCAGTGAATTTTACAACTGTAAAATTCATATTAATTAAACTGTTTAACTTTATCTTTGGACTGTCTATAGAGTATTGGTAAAATTTTATTCTTAAAGTCCAGGACATATTCAGTCATTTCCACACACATTCTAGGTTTATAGTAAAAACTGAAATAGTAATGGGAATAGAGATAATGATAATATGTATTTTTGAGTGTTTATGTTATCCACTGTTTTAAACCATTCATGTATCATCAATTCACTCTAACTCTCACAATGACTTTAGTATTCTAGGTTGCCTGCATTATTATACACCTTTTCCAGATAAACACAGTGAGGCTCAGGGAGGTCAAGTAATATGCTGAGTTCACAAACCTAGCAAGTAAGTGGCAGAGCTGAACTGAAGCAGACTGGTTCCACAGCCCATATCCTAACTTAATCATTACTCAATGCTGTCTCTTTATGTGGTAATTACTGCAAAAAGATACGAGTGCTTACAGGACAGTGGATTAACAAGTTTCAAGTATTCCAAAGCTTCTGCCAGTATCTGTGGGATGTGAGATTAGCTAAATCTGAAACCTAAGGAAAGTGTTTCTACCTGCCAGGGTCTTTCTTTAATTAACAATGCAAAGAGCTAAATACAAAACCTTGCACATAGTGGCTTCAGCACATTAATTTCTACGCATTCCTTTCCTTTTATAATACTAACAAAATCACTGAGGTAATGTGGGGAAGGGAAAAGACCGAAATGACCAATTTAGAGCAGGTCAGAACTACACACTAAAGAGACTTAGGGAATAAAATGCAACATTAAGTTTCTCTATGTTCAGTTTTTCTTGATTTTTTTGTAGCTTTGCTATGCTGCTCTTTCTCTGTATATAATTAACATACATCAATACTATTTTTATAATGTCTGAACATCTTTGCTAACTTTCTACATTTCATTATACTGACATGACTAGCTGTAAAGTACCTGAAGAAGTTCTTGTAGTGGCCAATCACAAAGAAAAACAGAATAAATTATAAAATGAAGATAAAAGTGCTAAGAAAACAACAATACGGGGGCATTTACTAGAGGAATAAATATCTTTAGAAATAAACAATTCAGTTGGTTAAAAGAATAATCATCATATACTAATGGTGAAATTATGGCATTGTCAATACAAGGTTAAATAATGTTTAGTATATTCTATTTACAAATTCAAGAAATATACAACTGGAAAATAATTTCTATCCAAACCATACAAATAAAAAAGTTTAATAGCTAAATTCTTTTCAAACAAAAGAACTTATTCTCCAAGGTTCGTAAAACCAAGTTTTAATTTAATTAATATTTAATGTCCTATGGAACTATATGCAAATTGATACAATATTGGCTCCTTAATCAAATACTTTTCAGTGTCATAAAAGGCTATCAGTATAGTCCCTGCTACTTTTCTTCTTGATCTACTGAGCAGCAACTTTTAACAAATTCCAATACTCAAATTTAAATAACTCTTCACAACTTATAGAATTTCAACTCATAATGTCTTAAAAGGGCCACATGATTCACTTTACCTCCTCTGCACTTGATGTCCTAGCATCTTTTCCTTGAATCAAATTTGTTAAAACTTTCCAAGATTTTGAAAGAATTTTTTCCCTAAGCAAGAGCTCCTTCTGTAATTCTTGAATAGAAATCAAACCTACCTGCAAAACAGAAAAAAAATAGTTGCTGGAAATATTAATTTCAACTGAAACCAGGCACACCATTAATTCAGTAAATAATTTCTCCATATGTTTTTTTCATTTCATTTGCTATACAAAAGAGACTATCTCCCAAAGTACAACTGCTTTATTGAGAAATTTTAAATCTCTAATTACAAAAAACAATGTAATTTTTCCTTTCAAAGGAAAATAGTAAATAACTACAATACAGAGTTTAAGCATCAAAGTAACTAGGGATAATCTAGGCCTATCAAGTGTTACCTTCACAAACACAAAGCATTATTTTTCTTGGTGAAATAATTTCTGCTTCAAACACAAAGCGACATCATGATGAATAAAGATGACACTTTTAATGACAGTTTGAAATCCTGTTCATATAATCTTCATAGCAAAAATTTCAAGATAACACATAACAGTCCCCAACCAATTAGAAGTTTACTTTGTGCTAATAAGTTCAATGTTATAGTAAACTCTACTTTAAAAAAAATACCAAAACATGCAGTATTAAAAAAATAATACAATTTAACTGAACAGAGCATAGAGCATTCCTATTATCCCAGATAAACAGATTTCAGCACTAAGAATGAAACACTGATGGAAAGTATTTTACTACTGAAAATTTAATGAGTTGTGTCACTAAACTGATAGAAGTTGTTTCATTTCAGATGGATATTTGAGGCTGTTTAAGTATTAATCTAGCTTTTAATAAAACATGCTTTTCTATATTTAAAAACAAAATGTATTCCTCTTTTAGATTCCTTTTTTAAATTTTAAAGCAGACAAATTTGTTTTCATCAATGAATAGAAGGTAGAGGGAGATTACATTATTTCTCTATCTCACATATTTGTATAAAGTATATAAAGTGTATACCTGTATTTTCAAACTTCTCATACTGACCTAGTTCTCTACACTCCACATCTTTCACACTCCAATACTCATTTGTTCAGTAATTTGTGACTGAGGTAAAAAGAGATACACTCATCAGAAATATACAGCCAAACTGAAGCTCCTGGATAGGTAGGGAGTATAACTAAGGACTAGGAAGGCAGGATTGAAATAAAATATATTTCACCTTCTCTTCCTAAATGTGCAATCCTATTTGCACAGCTAACAGATTGCTGGTTTTCACAGAACTTTCTCCTGTAGATGTTAAGGAATGTTTTTCTTCTCTTCCTCCCAAACAAAAAACCTACTTAAAAACCAAAACAAGAGCACATGACACTGAACCTTGCTTTCTTGCTTAACTGATTGATTTTGGTTACAATAAACTCTATCATACATACAGAAGAACAAAAATAGTTTACACAATAATAAGAAAGTCACCATGCATATCACTACACCTGAGTCAAAAGGCAATACTGTAGGAGTTGTATAGTGAATTCCCTACAATCACAAACTTTTCCTTCTTCCCTGGAGACCACACTACCCTCACTCCTTTAAGCTAACTTCCTTAGCCTCATAATTTCAGCACATATGTGAATTCCTAAGGAATATTCTTAGTTTCTTAATGTGTTTTGTTTCTGAATCTCTTATAAATGGAATCATTCTGATTGCATTAGTTTTCACGGTTGTGCATATCTTCACTACAAGTTGTGAATCACTCCTTTTGTTGCCCTCTGGTAGTCCATCCTGTGACTATCACAACTGACGTCTGCATTGCACTGCTGAGGATTTGGATTACACCCAGTTCTGGAGCATTACAAACACTGCTACGAACATCCCTGTATGTGTTCACAAGTTTTTCCAAGGTCTCAGTCTTCCCTCCTCTCCTCAATTGACTCAGTGGGAAATAGATTTCATGGGAGAAAGAACAGTGCAATGGACTTTAGTTCTAGCTTTGCAAATCATTTAACTTTCCAAATTCTTCATGTGCTTTCTTATGCCATCATGTGTAAAATGGGTGATGAAAAAGTAAACCTGCTTAACAAAAAGGAGGTATGTTAAGATGAAGATATTTAAAGCAACACTGTGTTACTCCCTGCTTTGTCTTCACATTGTTTAAATCTTTCATATTTTCCTTATGTCTCTGCTGCCTTCTGGATAATTTTTCTAATATATTCAGACTCACTAATTTGCTCTGCATGTCTTTCATCTCTTTGAATTAACTGTTAAAGTTACCTCTTGAATTTTTATTTCAATGTGTTTTCAGTTAACAGAAATGCTATTTGGTGATTTTCTGTGAATAAATACTCATGATGCCTTGTTTCTTTATGTGCTTAATTATTTTGTGGGTGACTCATTTTCTTAGGAAAAAAATCACTTGTGAGATTTCTATGAGGACAAAGATAAATGTGCATTTCCAAAGAGTATTTTATGTTTGTTTCTATCAGGTGTCTGGGGAACCACCACCGACAAAAGAAACATCAAGATTCTGCTCATTTCTCTGGATTCTAGCCTTCAAAATTTGGTTTGATAATTTATTTGTATACTATCAGCTTTTAGAAGCTTTAGAGAAAATTTAAATAAAGATTTCATCTATCATTTCAAGTTGTTTTTAATAAGGAAAGTTAGTCTTGCTTTCATAAACTATGTTAGTATCATCTCTAAATTAACACAGAAATGTACATTATTTTAACAGTTATATGGTATTCTATGCTTCAGTTATAATTTATTTACCATATACCTAAGGATTGATATTTAAGATTTTCACCAATATTTTTATTTATAAATACTACATAAAAAGTCTTATAAAATCATCTTCAGGGTTTGGGTGTAGTACAGTAATAAAGCACATGCTTATAATGCATGAGGCTTTGGGCACAATCCTCAGCACCCACCCCCTTGAATCATTTCCATCCTTAGAATTCATGTTTAGAAGTAAAACTGTAAGAGAAAAAGGAGACATGTAATTCATATTTTAACAGCTTATAATAAGCTTCTTTCAAGAAGGCAGGTTAACTTTACATTACCAACGATGCTATATAAATAACATATATTCATATTAAGGCAATTAATCCTTTGTCATATTTATTTCCCCCCAAAATATACCATTTTATTTATTTTACTTTGTTCAGGGTACAAAAGTTTTTAATATATCAATCTCTCCCTTTGAGTCTACACCCATTAAAATGTTTTACTTATCTGCTACTCATATTCATATGTAATATGTATTGAATAAGTATTCAGTAAACTCACTTTAACTTTCTAACCATGAAATGGTATTGTGGTTATACAAAAGAATGTCCTCAGTTTTAGGACTCTTGCCAAAACACACAGAAATGAAGTATCATAACATCTCCAATTTTCAAAGTGTCCTGAAAATATTCACACACATAGTCAAATGATTATAGCAATACAAGTAACAATACAAGGGGCTGGGGATTTTGGTCAGTGGTACAAGCACCTGCCTGGCAAGCACAAGGTAGTGAGTTCAATCCCCGATACCAAAAAATAAAAAAGTAACAATGGAGCTGATGAGCACCTAGAGTATGTGCTACTCAAGGAAGCTTAGGCAGGAGTTTTACATCAGCCCAGGAGTCTAAGGTGAGCCTGGGCAACATAAAAGACCTGATCTCCATACTGATTTCCATAGTGGCAGCACCTACTAATCTCTCTTAGTTCATCAGAAAAAAGTTTGTGCTGTCATTGTTTGATTGATCACTTTTGTATCTAGATTCTATAACCTGAACAACTAGATCTGAGCTAACAATGTGCGATATATTAACTAGTTAATTCCCTACTTCTTGTTTTTGAAATTCTGTATTGTTTCAATCCTTTTTTTCTATTTTGCTTTTTAAAATAAAATTAAAAATTTTAAAAAACCTGATTCTCAAAAACATAAAAGTAACAAGGATAATTACTGCATTCTCCAAACTGTTCTGTATATTTCAAAATTCTTATAAACAAAAAAGCAAGTTACAAAAAAATGTATCTCATAATCACATTGCCATGTAAATTTGCAGATTCATTAAATATCTGCAAGAATATACACACAAAAGTGTTAAAATTTGTTATTTCTTAGTAGTGAAATGACAGGTAACACTAATAAAAAAGGCACTTGGATAACATGTATATGAATAAGCATGCCTGTGTTCCAATAAAACTTGTTGAAAAGACTGATATCAGTATTTGACAATATCAACCCACGTGAAAAAGAATTTTAAATTTCACTATAGATCAGCATTAACAGATGAATATTTGCAACTGGTGTTGACAACAGGGAACAATAACTGTGAACAGCAATTAAGTGAAATGTTAACATAAAAAAGATCTGTTCTCTCACTGGTACACCTATCAACAAAATGTACTGATTATTAACTTTTTAATACTATAACTAAAAATTATAGAAATTTGTTTTCCTTCGAATGTTTAAACAACTACTTCATATTCTCAAAAATATGTCTCTGCATACTTTTAGCATTTTATAAGGGATATGCATTAACTTGGTACACATGGAAAAAAAGAAAATCCCATTAGAGAACTTTTTATGGAAAACCTGAGAGTACACTATTTATATATGAAATATGTTACAATTTATCATAATGACTGTCTCTCTAAAAGAGACCCTGTGCCATACTTATCCAAGGACCAAAAACAATGTATTTTCAGAAGTGAGGTTTTTATATTTTTATGAGATTTACTAAGTCTATCAAGTCTTACTTAGAAAGGTATTTTTAGAAGTGCAATGGTATAAGATTTTACAAAGGTGTTCAAAAGATCCTTTGAAAAATTTTTTTCTCTAAGCACTGAGTTCCTTATACCTTAAGCATCTTTCTTTCAATGCTCTTTGCTTCACTCAGAATGGTATTAATCAAAAAGCAAAACCTATAAACAAATAGAGAATACTAACTTGTACTCTTCTTTCCAGAGGTGGAACCACCAAGTGACAATTTGCTTCTTTGTCTTCAAGTAAATCATCTTTGTTGCAATCCAAAGGTTTACTCTAATAAAAACAAAAAGAAATTAAAAGTGAAAATTTTAAAATCTTCTAAATTGAAATTTAGAAGATCAACAAAACACAATTAAGGTTTATCTAGTCAAAGGGCAATTTCCTACATAGTAACACACTTCGATGAAAGACAACTTAATGTGTTTCCCCCATCATCTCCTTATAACTAGAAAAACATTACTTTAATTACCACTATTAACACCTAAACTCTGTTTACTTCATTTAAAATTCTGGTTCACTTCATTTTCTTCCTTAATTAGTACTATTCTTATTTGTATGATTTTTTAGAAGCAACAATAAAATTAACTTATAGTACTATTGTCATTTGAGTGACCATGCAGTATTTCAAATTTATATCAAAAGCAGTCATTATCACACTTGTTTTAAGGAGATTCAAAGTATATATGTGGGAGATACAATTTACATATTTAAAAATCACAATCTATATACTTTTAAACTGCAAAAGTTTAAGTATGAAAACAATTATTTAAATGGTGCATCAAAAGTTTTAAGTACTTAAATTTTCTAATGTGTCTCTTAAAGAAATATATAATAAATAAACACTTACTGAATAGTCTAATTTGACAAGATCTGTTATTTTAAATGAAGCCAGGCAATCTGTGTTCAAGGAGTCTTTAAAAAGTAGTAGTAGTTGTTCAGTTCCAGTTCCAATAAAGTCATCTATCAGTACTGAGCTGAGGTTTTCCCACTTAGCAGCAACCTGAGATAGAGCATTAAAGAATAATAAGAGAAAAAAAAAAAAACAAAGTCAGATGGAAAATAAATTGACTCCTTTAATTTCAGGTAATTGTAATTTGTTATCCTCAATCTTGCAAATGAGTAATGAAAATGGTAGTATAAAAACTAAAAGTTGTAAGAAGATCAAAAACAAAGAATCATTACAACTTTATAAATAACAAGATAATTAGATTTAATGCTTTATTAATGTATGTCCAGGGCCTGTCACACTTCTAATTTCTACATTAAAATCTTATAATCTATTTAAAAATTCTAACTATTAAATGGTGCATCAAAATCTTTTAATACTTAAATTTTCTAATATGTCTCTGAAAATCAATACTTATGAAACACTTATTCATAAGTAAGTATTTTGGAAATTCTAACATTTATCATGATTAATTCTTTCTCTAGCATGAATTCTCTTTCTAGCATGGCTAAGTATAACTTTCATTTCCTTAAGCCTTAGTAGATACCTATTTATGATCAGATCAATTACTCAAAGAATTCAGCTACATTAGATAACTGGAGGTACAAATACACACTTCAGGAGCTCTTATAGAACAACCTATAACAGTATCAAGGTGAACTTAATACCCTAAACCCTGACAGAGGAGGTATAGCCATTATAGAAGCACATACAGAAGGTGAGGAACACCAGTGGTGAGAAACCTAGAAACACCCTGGATTAATGGAATGACACGGCCAGTTTTCACCAGAACACCCCACGTCTAAAAATAGAAAACAACTTCCTAACTGTCCACAAAGCCAAAAGCTTTCAGACTGATTCCCAAACATACTAACACCATAAGGATCAGATTCTCCATCTCCCTGAGACATAAAAGAGCAAAATCTTCAACTCAGAATCCCAGCAACACAGATAAACATCTAGATCAGTGATGGCAAACCTTTTAGAGCTTTCAATGATACAAACAGCTCACTGCAGTACACGTACCATAGATTCACCACCACTGATCTACATCAAACAAGAAGGTGGTTCATAGTAGGGTAAACCTAAGTGAGACTCTTCAGTTTTCATAACCAACTATCAGTGTTGCTCCTGCAAGGCTAACGCCTAAACCTGTGATTCTTTACATTTTCAAGGAAGCAACTTATTTGTAAACTCATCCAACCTCTCATGATTATCATGGAACATAATGAACTACGGAAGAAGAAATTATGCATAAGGATGTGTTCAGCATGCAAACATCACAGAGCTGTGTACGCATACATGCACATACACATTTCTTGGGACACCGAGAATAGTGCTGACACAAATACGCGTGGGTCGCAAATACATGTCACACATAGAATTATCAACTTGCTAGTACCAGTGAAAATAAAGGTGAAATTAATTTAACATACTTTCATCCCTCACTATCAGTGAAAAATTGGTTCCTGGACCCCCTCCAGGTAGCAAAATCTGTGAATGCTTAATTCCCTTACTTGAAATAGTACAGTATTTGCATAAAATGTTCCCACATCTTCCCATATCTGTTAAATCATCTCCAGATTAATTGTAGTACCTAAACTAATGAATAATAAGAGTGGTTATATTGTTTAGGGAATAAAGACAAGAAATATACATATATATTCTCTCTCTCTCTCTCTCTATATATATATATATATATATATTCTATATATATATTGAGTATGGATGTAAAATTTTTTTGCAAACATTTTAAATGTGCAGTTGGCAAAGTCCATAAATACAATGAATATGGAGGGCAGACTGTATTAACCCAGTATGTCCAAAATGTTACCATTTCAATTCAATGTAATCAATTTAAAACTGAAATATTTTATTTCTAAGTCTGTGAAATTTCATGAGTACTTAACATTTATAACACATTTTAATTCAGACAAGCTACACTTTAAATATTGAATAACCCACATATGTCTAGTAGCTACCATGTTAGATACCTCAGCTTCAGAACACATTAGCCTGTTCTACTGATGATGTACAAATATCTGTGTGTAAATGTCAATGACCTCAGTATAGAAACTGAGGTCATATGATAGATTCTTATAAATTCTTGTCAAAAGTTGCAAAGACAATTTCTACTTAAAAGAAAACGTGAGAAAAGCTAATCACACATTACTCTAGACTCAGTTCTCTTTCAAATCATATCACTGGATTAAACACATACCTGGCGTTTTTATGTAGGTTTGATCTGGGAGCACACCACCCTTGATTTTTGTTATTTATCCTAGCTTCCACTTGTTTGCATCTTACCTATCTCTGTAAGATGGTTTAATTCCTTCTCAGAATAACGTTATCGCAAACTCAAAGGAAGATTGCTCCTTTGCTTTCTGATTGGGGGCAAAACTGCTATCAAAACACCATTTTATTATTTAATAAATTATTCACTTTATTATCCAAAATGTCTTACATAATACCACAAATAGCAAATTCCTCATAAAAGTCAATGTTAGAAAAAATTTTCTCTTGTACTGTATGTTCCACTCAATTACAACACTTGTCATATTGATGTTTTTGTCTTAACTGCTAAGTATAATTGCTTAAATACAATAACTATACTAACCTAGCATTTCAAATATGATTACATTTAAAAATTGGAAATTAAGACATTGAGAATATTAAGACAAATTAATAATTATAGTTACATATTTATGTATTTCCAAACTTTAAAGGTTTTATAACAAAATGTCAAGGCAAAAAGAAAAAGAACATTGTCAATAGTGAGATCCTGCCTCAAAAAATTATCAGGTAGTGTTTAGATAACTTTAATTAAACAAACTATGATATACATATGATTTACGCATGATATTAAGTAGAACATTAATAATTTACCTAGATAAAAAAAAACTCTGGGAAGACCTGTATGAAACACAGAAACGCTTAAAAGGTCTATAAACACCAACTGAATTATTATGTGATTAAGTACTATACCTGAAAGTTCTTTTTCCAAATAGCACAAGCATCACTGGACCTAAATGATACAATGAAAAAGAGGTTTCCTTGACCTGAATCTAAAAGTTGAACAGAAAAAGGATCTTCAAATGGAAGCTGGCATACATTTCCCGGAGTTCCATTTTGGAATGAAATCAGCTGATTCTTTTGAGTCAGAACAATCAGAGACATTCTTAACTGGCTTGTGGTGATCTCAGCTGAACAGACATGCACACAAGTTACCACACTGCTATAAGCTGGAGGTATAATATATGTATTACTTAATACTGCTTGATTTTCAAGAGAGTATACACAAAATTTGGTGTTCCAAATTGCATAATATGATTCTGAAGACTTTTGAGTGTATTCTTCTTCAGATAAACAATACTCTGTTAGTCCCAATAAAACTATACCAAAATTTTCAATCTCACCTGCCCACTCAATAGAAGAAAAGTTAACTGGCACACTAACAACTTTGCCAATTTGGGAAGAGATACAAAAGAATGCTTTCATGTGTTGCCATAAGACTAAAGGGCCATTAAGGACCCTTATACTGTCCTTCAACTCATAGTCTAGTTCAAAACTCAAACACCTTTCAAATTCATTGGTACTATGAAGAAATAGTAGAAAATATTTGAAAACATTATTACTTTCATTGCTTTGTATCAAAATGTAAGGGAAATTAATTCTAGTTCTAAAATCTGAAACACAGTTGCAACACACAATTTTTAAATTAGAGTTTTCTTCCTTTACGTTGAAACATCCAGTGGACTTCAAAACAAATGTTTTTGTTCTTCTGTCAAATACCATCCGTCTGACACGTAATATGGATGTCTTAACAGGCCATTTATCTGCAAAATTGCCTTTTGACAAATGAAAAACAAGGACTTCCCCATTATAACACAAGAGTCTTTCTTGTTCCTTAGATGACATTGTTTGTTTTCTAACCATTCACAGTATCAAGTCTTTTGTGTTCATCCAATTTTCAAATGCAAACTGATTCCAGCTGATGCTTTTAATCCTAAAAAAGAAATGAAAAAAACTGTCATAAGGTAGGCAGGGTTGAGAGGAAAATACATTTCTGTTTGAGAACTATTATACAGGTAACTGCATACTTAATTAACTAAACATTTTTAAGCTTTTTATACTTCTGTAACGATGCTGCATTATCCAAAAAAAAAAGACAACCCAATATTATCTCTGTACAACCCTTTAAAGGTTTGCTAAGTAAAAAAGTAACTAAATTTAAAAAAGAACATATTAAATATGTTAACAGCACATATTTAAAGTTTTAGATTTAGGTGTCCTATGAAAAGTGATCTCAGAATTCTTTTGAGTCAAGGAATTTTTTTAATTAGTTTATGTTTCCAGTGCAGCATAATGATGTTCCTTTGGGGAAATTAATACATGTATAGAATATGTATTAATCATTTCAGAGAGGGCTTCTACTTTGTATGTTTTGAAATTACTACTATCTGTAATCTGGTTTTACCTTAGCCTCTTAGAATGACAATTCAAGTAATTAGGGTTTACTTGTCTTAAAGCTCAGGTTCTCTCCAAATATGGTGACTCCTGAATTGAGTTGCGGAGGTAGACTAATTACACTGGTTCCACAGCCCAGACACTCTGGAGGGAAAAGCTTGTATAGGCTCTATAACAAAATAAAACTACAGAGATAAAAAAACAGAAGATGCTAAAACAAGGCTTTAAAAATTCTCTAAAGGAGTAACAGAAATAAAACTTACTTTATAAGCACAGCACATTTTTGTGACCTAAGGAAGTCACTATTTTTATTCAGAGTGCATAAGCTTTGAGAATTAAGACAGCATATGATAATGAACAGAAGAATTAAATAATAGCTATCAATCACTCACACTTATTGCATGCCAGATTAATACATCGCTGTTTCATTTAATGCTTGTAACTATTCTCTTAAAAGTATTCTAAATATCCTATGTTTCAAATGTAAAAACTTTAATGAAGGAAAGTCAACTTCCCGCTGTTGCAACACTAATCAACAGCTTCAGTCCTAATTAGCACAGTGCTAGATTTGGAAAAGATGCTGACAGCTGAGTCTACAGTTTAACCATTGCCCTGCATGGATTTCCTTATTCTGAACTAACCAGTTATAAAAAAGAAACTGGACAGAAATAGTAAAATAAAAGTCAAAAGAACATCCTCTAATTTGAACACATGTATATAAAAAGTGTTCTCTCTTTATTCAGTGGCTATCCATACTGAGTCACTCCTGCAACAGTGTTGGAAAATAACACTAAATGCTTGCCATATCCTAAGTAAAACATGCTTGGAGATTGATGTGAAGGCCAGGTCTGCCTTTTACTAGACATACAACTTTGGGCAAGTTACTTAAACCCTTTATTGCTTATATCCACAACTCTATAATGATGTAAAATAGCAGTATTTACCTCAAAAGACACAAGTGTAAAGTAATAGAAAGCAATACTGTAAAGCAGGGTGCAGTGGTGTACACCTATCATCCCCACACTTGGGAGGCTGAGGCAAGAGGATGGCCATGAGATTGAGACCAACTTTGGTTACACAGTTCAAGGCCAGCCTGAACTACATAGTGAAACCCTATCTTGAAAAAACTAAACTAATACATAAAATAAATAACATAAAGCAATTGAAATGGAACCTTCCATTTGGCAGTAGAAATTTTCCCCTATCACCAGTTTTGTAGTTTAAGCTACCCACAGGTAAATATGGTCTGCAAATATTAAATGGATAATTCCAGAAATAAGTCACAAGTTAACCGACAGTGTTCTGTGTAGTATGATGAAACCTCCCACTGTTCCACTCCTTCTCATCCTTTCTGGGACCTGAATCATCCCTTTGTCCAGCACATCCACACTGTATATGCTTCTCACTGATAACTTATTTGGTTGCTCTCAGCTATTAGTGGGCCATCATAAGATCACAATGCTTAACATCCAAGTAACTTTTATTTTACTTAATAGTAGCCCCAAAGCTCAGGAGTAGTAATGTAAAGAAAGCAGAAGGGCATAAAACATGGGAGAGCACATTAATTCTGCACAAAATACAAAGCTGCAGGGCATATAGGAAAGAACATAGTAGGTACAGGTTTGGGCACTAATGGTGTTTTCAGGGATCCACTGGGGGTCTTGGAACATAAACATATTCCTTACAGATAAAGGGAACTACTATACTCAATAAATGTTAGCTACTATCATTGATATCATTGTTAATCAACATGGCCAGCTCTGGCTTACATAGTATGTAACCAAAAGAATCATTACACCCTAAAGGGTTTGTGAAAGATTCTCTCCTATTATAAATAACTCGCACTCATTCTCTTCTCATATTTCTGAACCATTCTGTATATCAGCAATTTGACTTTCAGAATTAACTGAAAACTAGGTAATTTACAGGCAAGTAATATTGTCTCCCCCTGAATGGGAAGAACACTTCACAGGCTTACACTTTGTTCTTTCATTATAAAATCTCACAATCAATCCAGTTAGAAAAGTACACCACTATGAACCCTAAAATACAAATTTATTTAAGTGAAGGTAGCCAGTGTTTTATAGCAAGAATTTCAATTTCACCTCTTTATTTTTTATTATTTTATTCATCTCTTTTTTAGACCACTTGGACTGCTGCAAGCAATCTACTATACTTCTGAAACACTGAGGCAGGTCCATGGAGGTGAATATACGGCAAGAAACTATGGCCTCCTACCAATAATCAGCAGAGTAGTGATTAAGGCCTTCTGCAAAAGCTGTGTGGGCGAGCCTTCTTAAGATCAGATCCTACAGCCTCAGGGAGAGATCTGAAACCAAAACCATCCAGCCAAACTGCTTCCAGTTTCATGACACTCAGGAATAGTGAGATAATAAATGTGTGCTGTTTTATGTTGGTAAATTTTGGAACACAGCTGTACTCAGGCATCCATAGAAAATTAGTTCCTAGCATCCCCAGCAAATACTAAAACCCCCAAGAGCTCAAGTTCTTTATATAAAATGGCATACTGTTTGCATACACGTATAGTCAGCACTCTGTAACCAAAGGTTCTGCATCCACAGAAGCAGTCAACAGCTGACTGAAAATATTCTTTCAATATCTGCATCTGTACTAAATATGCACAGTTTTCCTTGTCACTATTCACTAAGGACTATAGTATAACACCTATTTACATATCATTTGTGCTGTACTAGGTAGTTTAAGCAACCTAGGAATGATTTAAAGTATATGGAGAACTGTGTGTAAGCCTTCTGCAAATTTTATACCATTTTATGTAAGGGACATGAACATTCATAGATTTTGGTACCTGTGGCTGATCCTGATACTAATCCCCCAAGAATACTGAGGAATGACTGTCACCTTCGCTAAGGTAAACATAGTAGGTTGCCAGTAAATTATTACCCTCATCCATTCTTCTCTATTTATATTTCCCCTCAATAAACATAGTATTCCCTTCAAATGTTTATTAATCTACTGCGACACTATAGATTTTAGAACTCTTTAAACTATCACTGTGTGTTCTGGTCAGCTTTCACCTTATTAGGACAAAACACCTTGACACCTGCAACTTAGAAGAGGAGAGGTTTATTTTGGCTCACAGTTTCAGAGATTTCAATCTATAGCCAACTGGTGCCAAGGCAGAAACCTCATGGCAGAAGGTGATGGCAGAAGAAACCAGCTCTTTTCAAAGTAGCTTGGAGGCAGAGCATAGGAGAAAAGCACCAGCAAAAAATACACTCTCCAAAGGCAACCCCCCAGTGAACTGACTCCTCCCACTGAGCCCCACTTCCTAAGAGTACACTGTGCTATGAAGGTAAAACTCTGGAGTATTTAACCCAGTCAAATTGTTAACTCAAGTGAAAGGTATTTCCGGAGGGCCTATCTACAATCAAATTGCTCTTTTCCTTCACCAGCATTATCTACATACACCTGAAATGCCAGTGAATGTGGGGGAATGATGATCCACTAAATTAGAGAATTGTGGACGATTGAGTTTAGAAGGTTTTCTATGCCTTCTGAAGGACTTCTAACTTTCTCCTCTAACCAATGGCAATTCATTAAAGATTACAAAAACAGAAATCACAAAATTGTACTGCTTCCTTAAAGTGTCTGGTGACAGTGTTGAACATGTTAATTAGATAAAATTGGATACAAAACTAACAGGAGACAAGTATGAGTGCTTAATAAATAGGACTGATGATTTTGTAGGGCAATTTGGTAGTAAATCGAAACGCATATATCCAGCAATTTCATTTTGAGACAAAATCCAGGGAACTAATTCCACATATGCACATTGACAGTGCCCTAGGATGTTCCCTACACTATTGCAAATAATGGATGTAAAAAAGGAAAACAACTCTCACCAATAGGAGAATGAATATAGATGGGATGCCATACAATAGTTAAAATGAATATATTGGATCCATGTATCATCGTATCTAGATTATGGAAATAAAACGAATGAATGAAAATATCCTTATGCCATAGAAATATCCTTATACTATCCTATTTTAAAGTGAGCACACTGAAGCAAGGAATTTCAGGATTTTTTCAGAGGCCTACAAATTAAGTGCCAGAGCTAAATTTCAAATCCAGGAAGTCTGGAAGTGGAACCAAGGAAGGAAAGAAGGAAGGGAATGGAAGAAAGAGAGTGAGGGAGAGAAAAAGGGAAAAAGAAAAGAAGGGAAGGAGAAAAGGTTAAATATTTTATGCTGAATTCTTAATGACTGTAGAGCTAGACAAAATGAGGAACATCAGGGTAGAAGAATGGAGCCAGAGGGAGATTAGTTACAGTTGAAATAGTTTTTTTAAACAGTAAGTCATTTTATTACAAGAACAGTTGTACCACTTTGATTTCTAATTTTGCCCATATTACAAAGGCAAACTATATATTGCCATAAGACGGAAGTTAACAAACTCCAAAATACTGCACGTTAATGAAATATGTTTCACTTGCAAAACTGGAAGGACATGAAGTATCTACAGTTGAAATAATCCTAAAGGATGTATTCAAACAACTTTTAAACTATGTAACAATCATGTGAGCAAGTGCTCCATTCTTTTCCCATACAAAAACTACAGATGATGGAAGCATTGAGTCCTTGTCTTAAAATTTCTTTGTAATGTTTAGTATCCTTTAACTTTTAAGAAGGCAATACTGTATGAGTAACGATTTCCTTTCAATAATTATTTTTAAACCCTTCGATAATTATTCTTAGGCCAAAAAATCTAAAATTGTCCCAGTACTTTCCCGACCGTGGCACTAGCAGTAGCATTTTGCGCAGGCTAACCACTGTGGGTTGTCCTGTGCATGACAGAGGGTCTGGCAGCGTCCTTGGCTCCTAACCACTAGAAAGCAGTGACACCCGTTCCCCTGAGTTGTGTCATCTACCAATGCTCATAGACATTGCCAAAAGTTCCTGACCGCAGAACAGACATCCCCTTCACTGACAGCAACTACCTTAACCAAAGATGTTTTTCATTTATTTTAACTTTAGGTAACTGTTTGAGCATTAAATATTCTAAAAATACCTTTCTTCTAGCATTCCACACGCCAAAAGAGAAGGATGATGAGGTGATGAAGAAAATTCAAGAGCACCAATCCCGGAATACAGCAAGCGATTAAAATCCACAGAACGACAGATTCCCGGCCCCGGAATGCCTGTTTCCTTCCAGCTTTCCTGGGAATCAGGAGCGAGAGGTGAAGTCTTGCTGAGCCTGCTCTCGGTGCAGACGCTGCCTTACATTTGTCTCGGTGCAGAAAAAGCCTCCGCGTTGCAGAGGCTGTAAGCCGAGGGAGTGTCCCGTCGCTCCAAAACTCCCGCCAGCGCGCTGCATCCTGGGAGGCCCCGCCCCGAGGCGGCGTGAGCACCGAGGAAGCGGAGCCCGCCGCGGCTGCTTGGAGACGGTTGCTCACAAGGAGGCAGAGGAGGCGGGACCTCCAAGGATTGTTGCAAAAGCGAATCCCAGACCCTGAATTCCAGGGCGGAACTCAGAGGAGAAGCGCCCGTGGATGGCGCGGCTCTTGGGGGCGGGACCGCGGTGCGTCGACGTCGAGAGGAGGGGCCTAAACGAGAAACCAATGGGACCCGGATTGAGAGTTTGGTCCCGTCTCTACGCCCAGGCGGCCGCAGCGGATTGAGCGGTGCGCGGCACTTCCGTCTGCCTTCCGGTGTCACGCGACACCGCTCTCCCTCCCAACCTCCTCCGTCTACCCCTGGGCGGGACTGGCGGGTGATGAGATATTCGGGCGGCGGCGTTGAAAGGGGCGACGGCTACACCTCCTGTAATCACGTCTAGGACCGCGGTCATGGCCGAGGTGGGGAGCCGTCTGCACCACTGCTGGCCCTAGGTCTCAGAGGCCGCCTCCGAGGGCTGGCTACCGGGTTCCCGGGTACGAGTGAGCTGGGCTGAGGGTAACTGGGATGATGCAAGAAGTATCTAAGGTCCTCTTGTGTCTCCCTTCCAGAATCACGCTCAAAATAAAGCCAAGCTCATCTGTGAGATCCGGCGGAGGTTCGAAGCTGAGTATGTGTCAGGTGAGCACTGCGTTGTCGAGATTGAGGAAGATGTTTAGTGCGCGTTCTCAACTTTACTAGGGTGTTTGTCAGTGTCTCTGTGAGGTGTTTCAGAGAACCCTTAGAACTGGTCTGGTAACAAAGTGCGTTTCAAAGGTTTTGCTCTCCATAACATGCTCTTTGCCTTTCCAAGTGGGTAGGTGGTGCATCCAATGCTACCTTTAAAGGCTTAATCCCAAGTTGGAAATCGATGACTTTCTAGCATCTCCTCGACTGTATGAAACTTGCGTGACACTTGTTAGACCAACAACACGGTTTAAGTTTCCTCAACTGACCCGAGCAACAGTCGAAAAAGTAAACCTGGAAACTGCCATAGCTGACATGTACTTAATTGAATATGCCACTTCCTTTGATATTTTGCCAGATTTCACTTCATACACCCCAGTAATCTACCCACAGCGTAGGCACTCCCCTGCTAGAGCAAATTTTATTCTTCTCAGCTCGCACTTTACTTAGTAAAGTAGCTAAGTCCAGAATTGACTTGTTGGTTGAACATACCAGATGACATAAGTGCCTCAGTGGTCCTGTACTTGCCTGATGACTTAATACATGCACAGTAATTTGTGAAAAACATGCCAGGTAAGTTATTATAAATACCGAATTGGAAAAAAGGTCTATATGGTGACTACCTCAAGATTGATTCCAATCCTGACTTTGCCACCAAATAGCTTGTCTATTCTGACCCTGTTTCCATACCTCTAAAATGCAAATAAGGTTAGGAAGAGTAACTAAAAAAGAGTATATGAAACTACCTAGCACAGGCTTAAAATACAGTATATTTTTAATGGATCTTTTGTATCAGTAGTCATTTTGGTTACTGTAAAAAGATTTGAGCTTCCATATCTTGACTTAAATGTTCAGCTAAAGTTTCCTGCAATTTTAAACTGTCCAATGTATAATCTAGATGATCTAAAACAAATAAAAGAAATCTGTTCCAAATAATCTGGTCAGTAAATCTTTACATGCCTCCTTGCCAGTTTTCTTCATATGCTGAACTTTGTACCAGAAAGTTGCAAAAGCACTTGATTCACTTTCAGACAAGAGATTTCATTTCTAGTAACATATCTGATACCAGTGAAAAGAGAAATCCAAAATCACTTTCTATAGAAATTTAATTCATAACTGCATGTTTTTTAGTATTTTAGAAGTAACTCAAAACTTAACCTAATGAACCAGTAATGCAACAACTGACATTTACTTTGTACCTAAAGGAGGAAGCAGAAGTATAGCAATAGATAAGATCTTAAAAGTCATCTTGATTCAACCTTCTCATTTAAAAGTGAGAAAAGTGTGATATGGAGAAAGTAAGTGCTTTGCTCTGGTTTTAGTAGCTTAGCCAGGGGCCAGTGCCCAGGCCTTCTGAGTTTCACTACAGTAATCTTTTGACAACACCATGACATCCAATTAGATTGTGTCACTCTCCAACCTGCAACCCTTTTGTGTGTGCCCACTCCATTTGGAATAAAACACCAGTGTTTCACGATGGCCTACAAGGCAAGGCCATACATGATTTGGATTTTGCTTTCCCTTTCCACCTCACCTGTTAACGTTCTCCTTGACTAGTACAGATTTAACTTCTTCCAGCATTTAGAAATGTACAGTGCAACCTAGTCAGTACACACATGCACATGTTCATGTAATTAAACCAATAGGTACCCTCCTGTAATCCCAAAACTATGAGGGCCTGAGATAGTAGCATTACAAGTTCCATCACAGCCTGGGTGACTTAGTGATTTAGTGCTACCCTTTTCAAAAAAAAAAAAAAGAGCTTAGTATATAGCTAAGTACAAAAGTCCTAGGTTCAATTCCCAGGCCCCCCCACCAAGAAAATAAGAATACTCATTCTGAAAACATGTGACTCTAGTGTTTATTCTGTTTGACTTATTTTTTAAAATGCAGTGACCCATAAAATTGACATTAAAATCTAAAACATGATTCACAGTTTGAAAAACATGACTATACTACTTCATTTGTGTTCCTCAAACAGAATGAATCTGTTTCTACCTTGGGAACTTTCTACTTTTTCACTGCCTGGGAGGCTGTTCCCCATTTGCTGTGCATGGTGGAGTTCTTTTCTTTTGTATCATTTCAAGGTTTAAGTGTATCTGAGAGGTCTCTGCTGATAATATAAAGTAGCTTCCTTATACGGTTTATTTTCTCTCCTTGGTAGTTTTTATCATAATCTGCAATTGTCTATTATTTCCTCCAGTAGATTATGTTTGAGTTTTGCAGCAACCTATAGAAATTGAAGCTGAAGGCCTTGTGAATCTTACCTCAGCCCCTAGCACAGTTCATAGTACATACTCAATGAATGTACTGGAAGATAAGACAAATTCTGAATTAAGAATTGTACTTACTAGCTCTTTTTTCCCACCAAAATCTGGCAAAGAACAGTCTTCATGGGGCTGGGGATTTAGCTCAGCGGCATAAGTGCCTGCCTTGAAAGCAGGCAGTCTTGAGTTCGATCCCTGGTACCGATAAAAAGGAAAAAGACAAAAAAAAAAAAAAAGAACAGTCGTCACCATATGTCTCATAAAGATAAGCAATATTTCAAAGTAAAGCACTGAGTGGGGTTAAGTATGGAGAGGATTTTTCCTAAAATGTACACACTCAGCTCCATGTGAACCTGTATATTTGGGTTATCTGTTAACAATTGAAAATATTAAAAAATTTCATGAGCAAGAAAAATAGAAACCATTAGAATTGGTCTCACCTTAAAGTTTCAGTTGTTTCTTAAAACACAAAATCTGAAAAAGTTTGAAAATGGAGTAAAGATTTTTTTAATTTTTTATGTTCTCCATTTTAAGGTTGCTTTTTAGAACATCCAATGTTTTCTTCCTCTTTCATGTTTTTGTAGTCATTAACAGTAATTTGCTTCATAAGAGACTAAGGCAGACTTAAGCAAATATGATGTTATATTATCATACTGGGGTGTAATTCAGTGGTAAAGAACTTTTTTTGCATACTGAGACCTTGAGTATTATCCCCAGTACGGGAAAACAGATTATCATCTGTGGGTATATCACTTTAAGGGCTAACTAAGCTTCATAAATTCTTTTGAAGGTAGACTCTTGGAAATTCCAGGCACTTTTTTGTGCCCATAAAAGTTACCAATTATGGGTTGATTTTTTTTTAACTGACATTAAAATAAAATAAAGATCCATAATTGCCTACTTGTTTTTTCTTATTGTTACTGAGAAATTCCATGCTGAGTCTAAAATGAGAAATATTTCCTGTTCTTCTTCCTACTTGTGCCAAAGACAAGAAACTGATCTCTTATGACAATAATTTATTCAGTTCCTCAAGTGTTCGTTATATGCTTAATTCTGTGAAGCAGTGTCCATGTTACAGAATGCACTGAAGGATAGAGTGCCTTCCCAAACTACTACAGTCCAATAGTAATTTGCTTTATAAGAGGCATTAAAACAGATAACTATCAAGCTTGAAGCAAATTATATTAAGAGAAAATATTAATAATAGAGTAAGAGTAGTAAGAGTGCTAAAATGTTTTCTTAAGAGTCAAAAACAAAGGTGACTACTGGTTGGTAGTTGCCTTAGCACAGAGAAGGAACTTCAAAGAGAAGGTGATATAGTTTGGATCCTTTTTTCCCCTTTTTTGTAATACTGGGGAATTGAACTCGGTGCCTTTGTACTCAGCTACATCCTCAATCCTTTTTAAGAATGAATTTAAAAGAGAAAAAACATAGAAAAGAAAAACAAAAAAGCAAAAGAGACAAACAGCCAGAACAACAAGCCCAAAACAGTAACAACGTAGGCTTTCAACATAAGATGGTAGAAATTAGCAATGGTTGTTATACTGCATATTGTTATCTTCAAAAGAGTTGCATAGATTACCAGATATAGATATTCAAAATTGATCTGATCATATGAGTATTAACTGTTCTTTTCCAAGAACTAATACAGTTGTAGTGTAGTCATCATAGCTATCTTCTGTGTGTGTATACAATTGATATCTTTTTCCTTCTCCCTTCTTTCCTCCTTTCCCCTATCCCAGTGACTTTTCACCCTTTGAGCAGTTTCTTACCCTCACACAATATGTACTGTAGCTTTTGAATCTTTCTTACTCTTTCACTTTCTTACACTAGGGAGACAATACCTTATTTACACGTATGAGTTTGATTTATTTCACTTATGAGTATGGTCTCAAGTCATCCATTTACCTATAAAAGCCTCAATGCAGTCCTTCCTTATAATTGAGTAGTACTCCATTATATAAAAATACCACATCTTTTTTTATCCATTCCTCAATTGATGGGCATTTGGGTTATTTTCAAGATTTGGCCATTAAAAATTGTGCGGCTATAAACATGAGTACACATATATCACTCTAGTATGATGTTTTTGATTCTTATAGGAAAATGCCCAGAAGCGGGATAGCTAGATCAAATGGAACCTCCAATCGTAGCTCTTTGAGGAACCTCCACACTGATTTTCACAGTGGTTGCACCAGCCTATACTCCTACCAGCAGTGCAGAAGAATTCTTTTTTCCCCATAGCCTCTACAGTATTTGGTATTGGTTGTTTTCTTGATCCTGGGCATTCAATCTAGAGTGTGATGGAATCTCAGTGAGCATTTTCTCATATATTTATTTGCCATTTGTATATCTTCATCTGAGAAGTATGTATTATTCTCAGATGCTGGTTTTCGGATTGGGTCTTCAAATTTTGGGGTTCTGATTTTTTTTCTTAATTTTTATATGTTAGATAGAAATCCTTTGTCTGAGGGACAGTTGGCTGAGATATATTCCCAGTCTGTGGGTTTTCTTTTTACTCTGTTGTAGATTTCTTTTGATATGCAAAACCTTTTTAATAAGATGAGATTCCAGTTGTTGATTCTTGGGAAATATTTTCTGTGCAGTTTGATTTTTATTCATAAATTCTTTGCCTACCCATATATCTTCAGGATTTCTACCTACTCTGTCTTCCAGCAGATTTAGTGT